TGCACCTGCTCACCTTCGGGCAGGAGTGTCTGCCTCCTGAAGAGAGGTGACACGAGGGCGTGTCAGCCATCTGATCCGTGTCGGCCTGGGGGAGCGTGTGGTTCCCACAAAGAAGAACGTTCTCTGCTCGCGGAGGTCACTGATGTCTTCCTTTCAGTTTGGAGACTCTGGGTTTGGTTTGTGGTCAGGTTCCAGCTGAGCCCTTTGCCCGGTCACCGCCTGGGTCTCCCAGCCCTTCACCCCGGGACAGGAGGAGTCTCTGAGGTTTCGGAACAGGGGAGCTGGCTCTGCCCAGTCGCCTGCCCTTGCAGTGTTGCTCAAGGCTACACTTTTTTGCAACAGTTTCTTTTCGCCCTGACTGGTTGGATTCAGCGGTTAGAGCATCGGCCTGAGGACCAAAGAAGGGTTGTGGGTTCGATTCCCAGTCAAGGGGGCATGTACCTGGGTTGCAGGTTCAATTCCTGGCCCCGGTTGGGGTTGTGCAAGAGGCAACCAATCGATGTGTCTCTCTCACACTGATGTTTCTCTCTCCCTCCCTCCATCCTTTTCACTCTGTCTAAAGATCAATGGAAAAAATATCATCAGGTGAGAATTAACAACAACAACAACAAAAAAAGAGTTTCTTTTTGGTTATATTTGGCATATGTTTTGTGGATCCAATCCACGTAGTCAGATTATAGAACCAGAGGTTAAAAGTGCTCAGTTGAGCCCTGGCCAGTGTGGCTCAGCTGTTAGAGCATTGGCCCGTGGACCAGAGTCCCGGGTTCAGTTCCCGCTGAGGGCACGTATCTTGGTTGCAGTTTGTCCCCAGCCTGGTTGGGGTTGTATGGGTGGTAGCCACTCGATGTGTCTCTCTCACATTGATGTTTCTCTCTCTCTTCCTCCCTCTCTCCCTCCCACTCTGTTTGAACATAAATGCAAAAATGTCCTCAGGTGAGGATTAAAAAAAAGTGCTCAGTTGAGCCCTGGCCAGTGTGAGTCAGTGGTTAAGTGTCGACCCATGGATCACGGACTATCTTCGGTTTGATTCCTGGTCAAGGGCACATGCCTGGGTTGCAGGTTCGATCCCCGGCTCTGGTCAGGGTGAGTGTGGAAGGCAACTAATCGATTTGTCGCTCTCACATCAATGTTTCTCTCCCTTCCTCTCTCTCTCCTCCCTCCCTTTCTCTCTTCCACTGTCTCTAAAATCAATGGAAAAAATATCCTTGGGTGAGGATTTAAAAAATAAAAATAAATAAATAAATAGCCCTGGCCCGTTTGGCTCAGCAGTTAGAGCGTTGGCCCGCAGACCAGAGAGACCCGGGTTCGGTTCCCGCTAAGGGCATGTACTCGGTTGCAGTTTGTCCCCGGCCCTGGTTGGGTCGTGTGGGTGGCAACCATTTGATGTGTGTCTCTCACATCGATGTTTCTCTCTCTCTCTCTCTCTCTCTCCCTCCCACTCTATCTGAACAAAATATCAAAAAATGTCCTCAGGTGAGGATAAAAAAAAAATAGTGCTCAGTTGAAGCTTCTTCTCAGAAGAGAAAGAAGTGAACAGAGAGAGAAGATTCCAGACCAGCCCAGAGTCCAACTTCTTTATTTTTTTTAAAAAAAAATATGATTTTATTGATTTTTTTAGACAGAGAGGAAGGGAGAGAGAGATAGAAACATCGATGTGAGAGAAACACCCATCAGCCGCCTCCTGCACGCCCCCTACTGGGGATTGAGCCCGAAACCCAGGCATGTGCCCCGACCTGGAAATGAACCAGGACCTCTGTCACGGGACGATGTTCAGTCCACTGAGCCACATCAGCCGGGCACCCACTTTTTTCTTAAGAGCACCTATAGCCCTGCGATGGGCACGAAGTGAGCAGCAAGCACGCGGTGGGTGTGGGTGGCCGGCCCGCGTGGGGTCACCTGGAGTAATTTTACAGATGTTGGCATTGCTCCCAGGGTTGGGCGATGGCCTCATTTGCCCTGAGTGGCCGAGACTGCTCAAGCATGACAAACCAGGGACAAAGGACGCATACCAGCCGGGCTCGTGTCTGACCCTCTCCCTGGGCCACCACGCCTCCCTCTGACCTAATGCGATTTTTATCAGAGAATAAAGTTTTTTTATTATAAAAGGGACAAGAGAAAAGCGAGGCCCCTGTATGTCCCCTTCAAACTGGGACGTGTCTTGGAGGGGACATTGGCACGGGTGGGACCCACACTGGGTTTTCTTTGTCCGAGAGCCCGGTCCTGCGCCATCTAAAGGGGATGCTCGGGAAGAGGTGGGCGGCTCCATTTGTTTGGGGACACGAGTTACCAAGAGATCGTTGTTTGGATGGGGCGCACCGTCTTTTAAAGCCCAACCTGCCGCTGATGGTACCTCAGCTGCCATCTTGCAGGGACACGAGAGCTCTGTGGGGTGTTCCCCTCCCCCCATCAGGCCCCTCCAGTCCCTGCAGCTCGCTTTTCTTTAATGAGTGGAGGGGGGCACTGTCTTTAGGGCCAAGAAAGTGACAGGTCTGTCGTCTCAGACCCATGCCCCCAGCATGTCCCCGCTCTTGCTGAAGTTCTAACTAGCCCTGCACTTTGCTAGGGCTCCAGACAAGGATTGTCCCTCAGGGTCACTCCATCTGCCTCCCGATGGAGGAAGGGGCCCTTTGCAAGCAGCCTCTGCATTTGAAGGATGGTCTTGGGGTCAGGCCCCTGGTCGACGGCTTTGGCCAGACTGTCCTGTTGAATACGTATGGAGCCTCACTGTCCGCGCGGGCACAGGCGGGGCTGTGGGGACAGGGAGGAGAAAGACGCCATCCCTGTCCTGAAGGAGGTTTTAATTCAGGGGGAGGCAGACTGGAACAGCTTTGGAGGCTGCCAGAACCAAGCCTGAGGCCCGGCTTTGCTCCTTGCTGCCCCTCTGGCTGTGTGACCTCCAGCTAGTCACTTAACCTTTCTGAGCTGGAGTTTTCTTATCTGCGCAATGGGGAATGTCATGGACTGGCCTCACCGGGTTCATGTGGGTGTGCGTGCGGTAAACCTTGCCCGCCTGTCACAGTGAGCTCCCAGGGATGAAGAAGCTCCAGAGTGACGGTGGTGATGGGGGGGGACTCTGTTGAGGGACACCCCGACGGAGCTGGGTAATGTCTGGAGGTAACAGGGCTGGACAGAGAAGGGCAGAGCTTAGAGGGACAGAGCTTAGAGGGACAGCGCTCAGGCAGGAGTGTCGGGCTTTGAGTGACAGCTGAACTCAGCAGGGCCGGACGGGCGTGGACTTGGGGTGGGCAAGGAATGGTCACTGTTCAGTGACTTAACTGCATTTCGCTTCATCTATTTTTTTTTTTTTTTAATCCTTACCCAAGGATACTTTTTTCCATTTATCTTCAGATAGAGTGGGAGGGAGGGAGAGAAACATCAAAGTGAGAGAGACACATCAACTGGTTGCCTCCTGCATGACCCCAACCAGGGCCGGGGACTGAACCACAGCAGAGGTACCTGCCCTGGGCCGGAATCAAACCCGCGACTCTGGTCTGCGCGCCAACGCTCTAACCGCTGAGCCAACATGGCCAAGGCTTCCTTCCCTTTTTAAAAAATACGTTTTTATTGATTTCTAGAGGGAGAGGAAGGGAGAGGGAGAGAGCGATGGAAGCATCGAAGAGAGAGAACACCGACTGGCCGCCTCTGCGTGGTGGGGCCATGGCGGCGCACAGAGGATGATGGGGCCCGTCCGCTCCCACACCTGCCTCGTCGCCATTGTGCGTCCTGGCTGTGGTCCCCGGGGGGGCTCTCGTGGCCTCTCTGTCGTGGTCGTGCTGGAACCCTCCCTGGGATGGGGATCCTCACGCCCCTGGCGCTGTCCGGCTCCCAGCGGCCACTGCTGAGCCCACCTGGACACGCCCCAGACGGCTCCAGGCTGCTCGGGTTCCAGCTTCGTGGCTGCTGGTGTTCCAGGGACATCCTAGGACTCACCATCTGTCCTCCTGCTGGGAGGAAGGTGCAGAGAGCTCAGGGTTCCGGGCGAAATCAGTTCCAAATGTTCCCACAGCTCAGGGCCCAACGTTCTCCCCGCCGAGCCGGCGCTTCTCAGAGCCCGAGGGAGGCTTCGGCGCGGCCTGCACCCCAAGACAGGGCCATGGCTCCCCCATCTCTCTTGGGCAACAGCCAGCACGTCTCTTGTTCCTTGGACACGTACTCAAGCCACTGTTGCCTGGAAGGTCTGTGTGCTCGGAGCTTTGTAAGCCTTGCCGGTCTTCTCAGCAACTGGAAGGGGTTTCGAGCCCATTTCACCGCCGAGGACGCTGTGGCTCAGAGAGGTGTAGTAACCTGCCCGGTCACACAGCAAGAGCCACTGGGCTGGGATCGGAGCCCGAGTCAGTCTCCGGAGCTTGCAGCTCAGCTCTGCGCCTGCTGCGCGCCAGCTCTGTGCCCAGGCGTGAAGGACGGGACGGGCCAGCTCGCGCGAGACGTTCGCGGTTGGGAGGGCAGGGCCGACGGAAGGTCGGGAATGGTGAGCGGTGCTCCGCACACGGGTGCGGTGGGGCAGAGGCCACCGGCCGGCTGGTGCAGGCGGGCTGCAGGGGGCTGGGTCGATGAGCATGGGCCAGGGTGAGGCTGGAGAAGCCCGAGGGTGAGACTGCGGCGCAGGGTCCCCGTCTGGGGAGGGTCCCTGTTTGAGTGTCCAGCGGGTGGCTGCAGCAGGGATTCAGCCGGGTGAGCGTGGAGCTGGGGTGCCGAACTGGATTCGGGAGATAATAGTCGAGGTTTCGAGCCTTCCCAGGGGGGAGCAGGGTGTGCGCTCCCGGCCCAGGGCTCGGGCGTTCTCGGTGCGCGTCGTCCAGGGACGGAAGGAGTGGGCACGCTCACAGCCCTTTCAGACCAGCCTGGGGCCGGCGGAGGGCAGACCTAAGGAAGTGGGGCCCAGAGGGTGCTGCGGGAGGGGAACGCTCGGCCACCTGAGGGACACAGCACGTCAAAGGGGACCTGGCGTGGGGTGAGTGGGCACACTCCTCACCCGCCACCCTGTTCTCTTCCCTGCTCAGCGGGCGCCGATGTCTCCATGGAGGCCTGCTGTGCAGATGGACATCGCATGGCCACTCAGCACAGGGCCTGCTCGCTGCCGTACGCCTCGGAGTCCAAGGAATGCAGGTACGCGTGAGGGCCGGCCGGGCCACGGTGGTGCTCCTCTCGAGGGAAGGGGGAGAGGAAGGGACAGTGTGTGCCAGACCCCCCGTTTTGGCTTCTGTGCTGCTGTGGACGTGGGTGGGCACATATCTGTCTGGGTCACTGTTTTCAATTCTTTAGGGCGGTGCTTTTCAGCCGGTGCTCCGAGAGTGTTTAAAACATGCAGTACCTGACTGTTTGGTCAGGGGCACGGACCTCTCTTCCCCTAGACTGTCAGACAAAGAAATGACAATGGCTCTGGCCGGTTTGGCTCAGCGGTTAGAGCATTGGCCTGCGGTCCAGAGAGACCTGGGTTCAGTTCCCGCTAAGGGCACGTACCTCGGTTGCAGTTTGTCCCCGGCTCTGGTTGGGGTCATGTGGGTGGCAGCCACTCGATGTGTCTCTCCCTCCTGCTCTATCTGAAGATAAATGCAAAAATGTCCTGGGGTGAGGATAAAAAGAAAAATTGACAACAGCCAACGCAACAGTAGCTGTTTGGTGTGAACGAATGATAGTCATACCTACTTTTCTGTCAGACTGGCGAAGATGTGTATTCTTTGGTGTGCCACAGCAGTTTTGTAACTACTGTACGTGCCCAGAGATGAGAGGTTGGAACTGCCACGTTGGGGCACATGCCCAGCATTGCGGGCTCACGTGCTGGCTTTAGTTTTAAGTTTTTGAAGCACCTCCACACTGCTTTCTGCAGGGGCTGCCCGTCTGCACCCCCGACGGCCTGCACCCCCATGGTGCCCGAGGGCTCGCCTCTCCATGCCCCCGCCAGCTCATGTTTTCTACTCAGCCGACATTTTTGAACGAACGGGTGGTGGATGGATGCTCTCTGGTTGATCTTCCTGACGGTTTAGTGAAATGCCTGTTGTTGCAAATCCACCCGAAGCCTGAGCAAGCAGACGAACCCGTCCCTGCGCTCGAGGGTGGTTCTGGAGCCCCATGGGAAGCAGGGTGCAGAGCCCCACAGGGTGGAGGTGGGGACGGGCGGGCTGGGGCTGCTGCCTCGCGGGAGGCTGGGTGGGCCCCGTCCTCTCCAGACAGGCGCAGCTTGGGGGCTCCTCTTGCCCTTGCTGGTGTTGGCCGAAGCCAGGGTTATGAGGGTGGCGGAGCCGCCAGGACTCGCACGTCCCTGCCGCTCGCCTCCCCCAGCAGGGCGCGCCCCCGCCCTCTGCTGGACCAGGTACTCCACATGGGAGCCACTGCCCCTGAGTCTGGAAAATGGGGACGAGTGTTGGGATGAAGGCACCTTGGTGACGGATGAGGGGTCTGGCCCAGTTAGCAGTCGGCTGCTTTTATTTCTTAACCAGTGAGAACATTTTGTGGGTGAGGCTCAGAGCTCAGAGAGGTGAGCACGGCTCCGGTGGAACAGGGGGGTCTCTGTTCCACCCCAGACGCCACCCACATTTCGTCTGCTGAGCCCCTTCACATGCCGTGGTGGCGTGTGGCCCCGCGTGCTGTGGGGGGGCGGGGGGGGAGGCCCCGCCCGCAGAGCCTCGGCCCAGACGCCCTCCCTCCGCAGGATGGTCCAGGAGCAGTGCTGCCACAACCAGCTGGAGGAGCTGCACTGTGCCACGGGCATCAACCTGGCCAACGAGCAGGACAGCTGCGCCGCGCCGCACGGCAACGCCAGCCTCGAGGCCGTGTTCGTGAAGGTGAGCCCGTCCTGCCCGCCCGCGCACCCGGGCCCTCCCCGCACCGCGCCGGCTCCAGGCCCTGTTCCCTGTGAGCCGCAGGGGGTGCCCAGCCCAGGAGGAAGAAGGACCCCTCATGTCTCCCCGCCTCCTCCGGTTCAATCAGTGAAGCCTGGACAGCACCGGGGCCCTGTTCACGCTGGAGGCCGGGATGGGGTGGCCCAGCCCTGCCCGGAGGACTTCCAGTCCTGGGGCTCCAAGTGGGAACGCAGAGATCAGAGCAGGGATGACCTCGGCTTCAGAGCCCCCTCCTCAGTGCGGGGCAGGCACCCACCCTCTCGGAGGCCCTCAAGTCCCCCTCCTTCCAGGGCCCAGTCAGAGCCCAGAGCGCAGAATGGGCCCCACTAAGGCCTCCAACAACACGACCTTCGTACCACCCTAGAAGAGGAAACTGAGGTTCAGAGAGACCCCCGTTCCAAAGTGGCTTCTCAGGACCAACAGGGGAGGGGTCTGGTCAGACAGCTGGAAGTGGGGTCCATCAGGCCCAGAGAGAGCCCTGCACTGCCTCACGTAACCGTCGTACACCGCCCTGGGACCCCGAGTCCAGGCCAGGTCACGTGGAGCCTCCGCGGCGGGGTGTGCCCGCTGCGTGGGTGTGGGGCTCAGACAGCCTTCCCAGGTCTGAGGCTGCCCAGCAGCTGCCAGCTGCCCGGGCGGGCCCCTCCCCCCGCCGAGGGCGGAAGGCAGGGCTGGCTGGGGACCGGGTTTGGACAGCTGCCCTACTCAGTGGGGTTTCTGCGGGGGTGCCCAGCGATGGCGTGAATTCCCTGGAACCAGACTTCCGGGTCCCGTTCAGGGAGCCGATGGAGTCGTTTCAAGGAACCAGAGTCAGAAAGGGGTCTGGATTCCGAGAGGGGCTGTGTGGGTTCCTCTCGGGGGGTCTGCCTGTACAGACGGGACGGAGAGATTTCACGTGGATTCCGAGAGGGGCTGTGTGGGTTCCTCTCGGGGGGTCTGCCTGTACAGATGGGACGGAGAGATTTCACGTGGATTCCGAGAGGGGCTGTGTGGGTTCCTCTCGGGGGGTCTGCCTGTACAGACGGGACGGAGAGATTTCACGGGGATTCCGAGAGGGGCTGTGTGGGTTCCTCTCGGGGAGTCTGCCTGTACAGACGGGATGGAGAGATTTCACGTGGATTCCGAGAGGGGCTGTGTGGGTCCCTCTCGGGGGGTCTGCCTGTACAGACGGGACGGAGAGATTTCACGGGGATTCCGAGAGGGGCTGTGTGGGTTCCTCTCGGGGGGTCTGCCTGTACAGACGGGACGGAGAGATTTCACGTGGATTCCGAGAGGGGCTGTGTGGGTTCCTCTCGGGGGGTCTGCCTGTACAGATGGGACGGAGAGATTTCACGGGGAGACCTCGGGCGTCCAGGGTCCCTCTGCGCGACCTCAGCCTGTCTGCGCTTCCATGGGAGGAGGCGTCTGGCGTGAGGGCGCTGGGTGGGGTGAGGGCGGGGTGTCTGGCCACAGGGGCCTGGGAGCCAGGACGTCGGACGTGCAGGGAGTGCCTCCCCAGGCAGGGCTGGGGCCCCGCAGCCGCCGTCTGCCTGGCACACACTCTGCCTGTGTCCCCAGACGAGAGAAAGGGAGGTACAGAAAAAGCATGGAACTTTCCGGGGAGTGGGAACAGGTCGCTCTGGCAGACGGGTGATTTGTGTTTCCGGGAAGGGTGACTCATGTCACACAAAGTGGAGGAGGTGGCAGACCCCTCCTCCCTGGCAGCAGAGGTTGGAGAATGGGCTGGACGAGAGGCCCGTGGCCGCCACGGGCACCGAAGCACAGCGGCGCCTCCCGTTCTCCGTGGGGCCTTGGGAAGGTTGGGGCTCCTCTGAGGACAGTGAAGATGCACAGGGCCTTTCATATGTCAGGGTGAGCGCTGTCCCCAGATTCAGCTGTGACTTTGAGAGTGCCGGGGTCCAGGTGACAGGCAACAACTCTGTCCCTTGCCTGATGACTTGTCTTGAGGTTCCTGTGCTTTTCTTTTTATTATTATTTAAATATATTTTTATGGCCCGGCCAGTGTGGCTCAGTGGTTGAGCGTCGACCCTGCACCAAGAGGTTGCCGGTTTGATTCCCGGTCAGGGCACATGCCCAGGTTGTGGGCCCGATCCCCAGTGGGGCCATGCAGGAGGCAGCCCATCGATGTTCTCTCTCAACGATGTTTCTATCTCTCTCTCCCTTCCTCTCTCTCTAAAATCAATAAAGAAAATGATATTAAATAAATGTTTTTATTGATTTTTTTTTAGAGAGAGAGGAAGGGAGAAAGAGATAGAAACATAGACGTGACAGAAACATTGATCGGCGGCCTCCTGCATGCCCCCTACTGGGGATTGAGTCCGCCACCCCCAGTTTGTGCCCTGACCAGGAATCAAACTGAGATCTCTGTTTATGGGACGACATTCAGTCCATTGAGCTACACTGGCCCGGTGAGGTTCCTGTGCTTTTCAGATGCACAATCGATTCCTGCCTCCCAGACCCCCTTCCCTTGGGAGGGGAGACAGGTGCACGCTCATGCTTCCTGCTTGGTAGAGAAACCTCCGACCAGGCTCGAGAAGCAGAGCCCCCTGAACCCCTGTGGCCCTGACGGGCCCTCTCATGGCTCCCTGTTCCTGAGGCGTGTGCCTGGCAGGGAGGGATGCTGAGGGGCCGTGGAACAGGTGCTGGGTTCAGGCCCGGTTCCTTTCACAACTGGGACCTGTGAGGCTTGTGAGCTCGGCCGGCTGTGCTGTTGACTGCCCCCACAGAGAAGGGGTAGTTGAGTCAGGCACGGGCCACCGCAGCGCAGGGAGAGTGGACGTAGGGGTCGGAGAGGTCGTGGCCCTGCTGTGCTGCTGTGTGACTCCTGGTCCCTGCCTGTGTTCGCAGAGATGCTGCCACTGCTGCCTGCTGGGGCGGGCGGCCCAGGCGCAGGGCCAGAGCTGCGAGTACACCCTCCTGGTCGGCTACCAGTGTGGCCTGGTCTTCCGGGCCTGCTGCGTCAAGGAGACCCCAGACTTCGCCCCCGCGGACAATGGGGACCTCCAGGAAACAGGTAGTCCCCTCCTCTCTTCCGTCTTGGGCAGTGCATTCGTCAGGGATATCCGGAGAACCAGAACCAGTAGGGTGTGTGTGTGTGTGTGTGTGTGTGTGTGTGTGTACACAGAGAGATTTATGGTAAGGAATGGGCTGGCACAGTTGTGGGTGGGCCAGCAGGGCAGAGACCCAAGAGAGCTGATGTTGCAGCTGAAGTCTGAAGGCTGTCTGCTAGCAGAATTCCTTCTTGCTCGGGGGAGGTTAGTCTTTCTTTTATGTCTGTCACCTGATTAGATAAGGCCCACCCACATTATGGAGAGCAATCTGCTTTATTGAAAGTCTGCTTATTTGATGTTAATCCCATCTAAAATGCCAGCACAGCGATATCCAGACTAGTGTTTGACCAAATATCTGGGTATCGTGGCCCCACCAAGTTGACACGTAAAATGAACCATCACAGGCAGGGTCCGCGCACACGGCTACACCCTTGCCTTTATCTCGGTGCAGTTCTGGTTGTCAGAGCAGTTTCATGGTTGTTTCCTCATCTGAAACCCGCTGTCCCGGAGGGAGACCGAGGGCTTGGGATCTGGGTTCTGACAAATCAGGTTCACGTCCCTGTTCCAACATGTATTTTCAGCAAACTGATGGATCCAGGCCTCAGTTTCCTCATCTGTGAAATGGGATGACAGCCTTACTTCGTAGGTCGCTGGGAGGACGAAATGGGAGAATGAGTACGAAGGGGCCAGTGCCCGCCTGGTCCATGCACATTTGCTGTCACCGTTCTTCCCTGTCCCTCCAGCGGCTCTGAGCAGGGTGGGTGGCGGGCCTTGCTTCTGTTTCACGGGTGAGGACCTGATGCTCAAGGTCACATGTGTCACACAGAAGAGAGAGAACACCAGCCGTCTGTCTCCAGGCCGGTGCCCCTCTCTCCATCTGGAGTCGAAGCTGTGTGGGCGAGAAGCTGGGGTACTCCCCGACAACAGGCTCTTCTTTCAAACAGTAGGTGCTTACTCAGCAAAGGGGCGAGTGAGCCCCAGCAGCTGTGAGCGCTCCCTGCTGTGTGCCCTCCAGTCCTGTCTCTCCGCTGTCCCTCTGTCCAAAGGCAGATCAAGCCTGAGCCTCTGGCCATGGTGCAGGTACATGGTTCAGGGGACGTCTTGGTTGTCTGATAACCCCCTTGCGCAGTGGTTCCCTGTGAACAGAGAGAATCCTGGAACAGCCCAGGAGTCTGCTGCGCCCAGCTTGCTGCGTGGCTCTGGCCCCTCTCCTGCTCTCTCTGAGCTCCCTGGCCCCGTTAAAAGTGGGGCAGGGGCCTGGCTGGTTTGGCTCAGCGGTTAGAGCGTTGCCCTGCGGTCCAGAGAGACCCAGGTTTGGTTCCCGCTAAGGGCGCGTACCTCGGTTGCAGTTTGTCCCTGGCCCTGGTTGGGTTGTGAGGGTGGCAGCCCCTCGATGTGTCCCTTTCACGTTGATGTTTCTCTCTCTCTTCCTATCTCTCTCCCGCTCTATCTGAATTAAAAAAAAAAAAAATGGAAAAATGTCCTCGGATGAGGATTAAAAAAAAAGGAAAAAAAAGTTGGTGCAGGGGCAGGAAAGACTTAGGAAGGAAGAACTCACAGACCTGTGGTCCCTAACTCAGGTCATCCATTGCTGTGGCTTTTTGACCTGGTGGCTTCAGGGTTTGGGGTCAAATGGACCTTTCATTCCTTGTTTTTAATTTCTCATTTCCAGGCCCCCACATGCCCTGAGGCTGATCCCCGATATCTCAGTCGTGAAGAGGGCTTGGAACCACATTCTGACTCCCTCCTTGACTTTTGAAATCAGAGATGACAGTTTTACTTTAAACAAACCCAAACTCCTCATCCTGCCGGAGGACTCCCCTGGTCTCCGGGGAGGGTTTGCGTTGATTTATGCCTTGTTTCAATAACGAGCTCTGGGCTTTCGGCCGGTCCAGATGGCTTATTTCTTCCCCGGCTTTTATCAGCTCAGCCCTTGCCCCAGACGTTCCTTGGAGTCTGTGTGAGGACGTCCCCGCCCTCCCCCTCCCCCAGTCCAGCTGTGCCTCCCTCCCTCCGCTGGCGGTGGGGGCTCCTGTGTCTGCCCGAGGCCACTCAGGGGCCACAGACCCATGCTGGCGCGACCACATGAGCACAGCATCGAGAGTAAGCTTTTGGAAACTTCTGTAAGCATTTCATAGAGTCAATTATGTCTCTTTAATCTAAGTGAAAAAAAGCCAAGGCTTGTATGTTTGTTTTCTTAACTTACTTTGCCTAGTAATTCATTTTTATTCTATGTCATCAAGGTGTTGGTCTAAGACTGGAGAAAGAACCCCATTCCTTTACCACGGGTAGTTTGGGGAGAACTGTGCTGGGGCGTATCCTGGCTACTCCCATTCTACAGACTGGGAGACTGAGGCGGGGGAGCGCAGACTTGGGAGTCATTTTCCAGCAGGGACAGCTGGAGGCTTGTGGGCTCCCACAGGACGCCCTGGAAATCTTGAAGACCTCCTCACCCGGCTGATAAATAGTTCCTCACGCGTCCTCCTGGCCTTGGGCTCTGGACACATGGGCGGGGCTTGGTCTCTGCCAGGTTGAAGGCACCAAGTGAATGAAATGTCCCTACATTAATACCCCGAGTCAAGGTGCCCCCAGCCTCCTAACCTAGGAAGAGATGATAACACCCTAAAGGTCTTTGGCTTAGTTCCTCCCCAGGTGAAAATTCTTTGAATTAATTACTGTATTTTAAAAGCCCCTGAGAAAGAATGCCTTGTGCATAGTTTGAATGTGTAAGTTATGTTATATTGAATTTTATACTAGAATGACTAATGTGTTTCCTCTGAATAATAGTTACTGTTCCAGTGTGTGTATCATGCTCACTGTGGGCAGTTAGAAGACCTGGAAAGGTAGAAGGAAGAGGAAACCCACCTGGAGATAGATACTGTTCCTATTGGAAACCCACTGCAGATAGATACTGTTCCTATTGGAAACCCACCGCAGATAGATACTGTTCCTATTGGAAACCCGCCGCAGATAGATACTGTTTCTATTAGGCCACATTTCCTTGTCTTTTTTCTGTCTCTTGATCTGTGCTCTGCCACCGGGCATGGTTGTAATTGTTACTGAGACGTGATTAACTTGCGATCACTGTCATTTTGCCTGGTGGAAGGGTCTTCAACATCAGACAGCTCGGTTTTCAGGAATTCCCAGAGATCTTCCCTCCCTTGGCTGTATCACCGAAGTTGGAAGGACTAAGCCATTTCTCTCACGCCAGAACCACCTGTGGGACACCGCCCTATGAAATCAGGGCCCCTGCGCCCACCGGGTCTCTATCCCACTGCCCTCTTGCATTTACCACCAAGAGTGGGGCCCGGTCAGTGCCAAGTGCTCACCCTCAAGCAGAGACACACACCTTTATTGACTGAATCGAGTGAGTGAATATTGATGACCGACACTAAATTGAGCTTTGCAGGCACTGTATAAAACGTGTTCATTTTCTGAGACTGCTGTAATAAAACACCGCAGACTGGGTAGGGGCTTGAACCACAGACATGCACGGTCTCACCGTCTGTGTCTGTCTCTCTGTCCTGATTCCCCCTTTTTATAAGGACCCAGGCATTGGATTCTGGCTCACCCTAACGACCTCATCCTCGCGTGATCATCTGCAGAGACCCTTCTCCAGCAGGGTCCGTTCACAGGTGCTGGGGGTAGGGCGCAGCATCTTCTGCGCGATGCAGCTCAACCCACAACAGCAGGCTTTACCAGTGCATGGCCTTAGGTCTGCAGGGCTGACTTGATTCACAGGGGGGCCGTGCCCGCCTGTGCTGACACATGCAGAACTTGGAGAGGGTGACAGCACTGTGGCAAGTGGATGATTCCAGGCCCTTGGCCAGTGCTGCTTCTGTTACCACAGGTCCTTTGGAGATGCTGCCACATTTATGGGTGTCGCTCTCGCTCCGAAAGGAGAAAAGCAATGCTGAGCTGTTAGGGTTGTACAAATGGGCATTACTGCCTGAGGTTTCCAAGAAGACAGACTGTTCGGTGTCTTCTGAGGAGATGGGCGCTGCGTGTGGATAACGTGTCTTTGCCTGTCTCGCCCCAGCTAAGATGTCGGAGATGGAGGAGGAGCAGGAGGACCCGTACCTGAATGACCGCTGCCGAGGTGAGGCCTCCTCTCCGGGGCGTGTGGCAGTTCATGAAGCCAAGTCAGTGCTGCTGTCCTCGGGACCTGGCCTGGGGGGGTGCTCAGGTTCACCGGGATCTGCCCTTGGGCTGGGAGGCAGCTGTCGGTCACTCTGTCGTCCTCTCTGCCCTCCGGGGCTCCCTCCCTCCCTCCCTCCTTAGAGCCTGATGGGAGAGGGTGGCCTTAGAGAAGGAGCCATGGAATAAACTGGTGTGAAAAACCCTCCCCCACCGTGTCCTCCTGGCCATGACCCAGCTCCCAGGCTCCCCCCAAGGCTGGGAGCCCCTCGGGGGAGGGGGTGAGTGCTATTTGCCATCGGGATAGCCATTGGTCTCCCAAGAGAGAAATTTGCAAGAATGAGTGGGGCCTTGCAGGGGTGTTTCAGGTGATAGAAGTTGACCTCACTCTCTCGGGACCGGACAGCATGCCTAGAGCGGCAGGTCTGCAGGGCTCATCCAGCAGCGCCCCCTGCCGGGGTGTTATCCGGTTTAATCCCCAGGTGGCAGGGTCGCAGTTCAGTCAGCCCAGAGGCCTGGGTGGCAGAGAGCCCCAGGGAGCCGCGTTGTCTCCTCTGGGGGCGCGGGGGGTTCTCCTGCGAGGAGGCGATAGCTGGTTTGCAGTGGGGGGATGGGGTAGCCAGGAAAGGAACATTTCGAGGGGATCTGGGGCATCGGGCGTGGAGACACAGGGATGGAGAGAGAGGCTGGAGAAGTGGACGGGGCCCCACAGGTGCTGGGCAGCAGTCAGTCTGTATCTAGTAGGATTCTCACCCGGTAGAGGTTTGTCCTCATGAGATTTGCACTTTGGGCATCAGGGAGCCGGGCGAGCGGCAGCCAGAGCTGAGGCAGTGGTAGCGGGATTGGGGCAGTGGACCAGCCCGAGAGAGAGGTGGAGGACAGAGGGGGCCTCTCTCTCCAGGGCCCCTCCGCCCTGTGCAGCCTGGTCCCTTGAGGTCGTCTGCCTTGCCTCTTCCAGCTGGCTCCAGTGACAGCCCGCCCCTCAGGCGCCCCGTTTGTCAGTGCAGGGCCGGGACCTGGAGCAGCCGCCTGGGGCGCCCAGACCCAGACCCTGGGGGTCTCCCGTGGGAAGGCCGGGTGGGCTCCGGCCTGCAAGCCTGCCTTTCTGTCTCAGTCCACCCTGAGGGCATCTCCCCAGCCCGAGCAGAACGGGAAAAGCAGCGGGTGCGGCGCCCTCTGGCGGCGGCTCACGCTCGCTCCCCTTGCAGGCGGCGGGCCCTGTAAGCAGCAGTGCAGGGACACGGGCGAGGAGGTGGTCTGCTCCTGCTTCGTGGGCTACCAGCTGCTGCCTGACGGCGTCTCCTGTGAAGGTAAGGTCGCGCGCCGGGGCAGCAGGAAGCAGCAGGTCACTGCCCTCGGGAGCCTCTGCCTCTGCTTGCTGCCGGCGGGTCCCACTTTGCACAACTCGGGCCGGGCGAACAGCCCAGGCCCGGCCTCCCAGCATTCCTTGCAGTCTGCATGGCGCACGGTCATCCAGGAGAATGTGACACATGTTGGGAACTAGGCTTGGGTTTGGGGTCTGATCAGGCTCTGAATCCAGGACTGCAAGTAGCCCTGGGCACCCCCCCCCCAGCCTCCCTTAGCCCCTCATCATGAGATGGGGCCCCCTTAGAGGGTTCTTAAAGATCACGTGACTCCAGTCGGGCCTAGCTCTTTGCTTAGCAGGAGCTCAGAAGGAGCAGTTGATCTGAAACTTATCAGGGGAGAAAACCCGTTGCTTTGGTTTGGTGGTGAGTGCCCAGGGCTCCAGCCCAGTGCGCAGCCGAATAACACAGCTCCTGGGGACTTGGTGGGTGCAGGGGACTGATCCGCTCTGCCTTCTGGCTGTTTCCTGATAAAGTGTGGTCCCTGCTGGTGACTCCCGTGTCGGTCCGTCTCTCCTAGATGTCAATGAATGCATCACGGGCACCCACAGTTGCCGGCTTGGCGAGTCCTGCATCAATACTGTGGGCTCTTTCCGCTGCCAGAGAGACAGCAGTTGTGGGACTGGCTATGAGCTCACAGAGAACAATGACTGCAAAGGTACGACCTGGTCTGAGTCGAACATCCTACCTCCCCAGGAGTAGATATGTGATGGGAAAGGCGGCTTGGGCTCCCTGGGTCTGGGATCTGAGGTGCTGTGCACCCCTGTGGGTTGACCTGAACGCTGAGTTAGTGACAGTGCAGAGTTTGCATGTCTGAAATGGCTCAGAGCACGATTCTTTAAAAACAGTTCTCCTGAGGGTGAATTTCAGGTGCTCACATGTGCCTGTTAATACACACGCACGCACGCACACAGACACGCACGTGCACACATGCACGCACACACACACAGGCACACACAGGCACACACGCACATGCACATACGTGCACGCACATACGCGCACACATGCACAGGCACGCACACGCACACAACAGCTGCCTTCCATCTGATTCCAGGCTTCCTTGAAGTTCAAAGCACCCTTCCCCTGCATGAAAACGTGACATGTCTGGCTGCTGGCCTTCCCCAGCCAAGCCATAGATATTACTTGGCAGATGAGGCTTTGATGAGGACCTGTTAGGACATAGTTTTGTGCTGAAGCTTTCCAGCCCTGCAGACGACAAACCACTTGTGTAAAAACGGTTGAATGATGAGGGTGGCTCAGAAGCGAGGCACACCCTCAGCCCACGCCACCCCTGCCGACGAGCTGGGTGGTTTGGACCCTGAGAACCCAGGGCTTGGCCAACCTGAGTATACACTTTTGAACATTTGACAGCCATGAACTTCAAGGAAAGGGCAGCCAACACTCAGATCATGAGAATCGCCATTGCTCATATTTGTAATAATGTGACAAATCCAGAATGAATGAGTTTATAGAGACAGTGTTTATCGCCATGAAGATCATGGCTTTCTGTTCTAAACAAAACATGCGCGTCGCCAGCAATGAAAATGAGACAGCCACAGGCTGCCAGGAGAACGCCTGATTATTTATTATATAACAGGAAGTTTGTCTCCTAAGAGCCTTGGGGAAAAGTCAGCGTTTTTAAGTCTTTAGCAATGCAAGCGCTGCTGGGCTAACTCAGCCCTTTCTGTTTGTGACTTCTCTGTTGGAATGTTTTGGGTTATAGTCTGAGTAATGAGCAATTTAAAAAAACAAAACAAAACTTGCTTGTGATTTTAAAGTGTTGTAAGATGCTTCTGGCGGGACTCTTGCTAACAATTTCCTTTTTTTATGATGTACCAGATATTGACGAGTGTGAGAGTGGTATTCATAACTGCCTCCCCGATTTTATCTGTCAGAATACTCTGGGATCCTTCCGCTGCAGACCCAAGCTACAATGCAAGAGCGGCTTTATACAAGATGCTCTAGGCAACTGTATTGGTAAGACTTGCCGCCAGGCCACCGGGGTCCACCAGGCGGGGTGAGCCACCAGCAGCGGGCCCTCTAGAACGGAGCTCAGAGTGTGCAGGACAGAGGCCGGCCAGCTCTCTCTGTATAGGGCCGGATTGCAAGCCTGTTAGGAGCTATGGCCAGGTGGCCTCTGTTGCGACTGTTCAGCTCTGCTGTTGCAGCTGGAAAGCCACCACTCATGTCAACAAATGTGCAGGGCTGTGTCCCCGTAAAACTTTATTTACAAAAACTGTCGGCTGGCTGGGTCTGGCCCCAGGGCTGTATTTCAGTTTAGCAGCCCCGGGTGTAAACCAGAGAGCTTGAGTTTTGGAGTCAGACACCTAGTTTTGAACTAAGTGATCTAAGGGTAATTTACTTACTTCCGCTGAACCTCAGTTTCTTGCTATAATGGGAAGAATCAAAATATCTGGCTGTGGGCCTGAGGCAAAGCTTCAGTAAGATGACTGTGAAATGTCTGGTATGTAAAAAAACTGGTTTAAAAAATAACCTCGCCCTGGCCGGTTTGGCTCGGCAGTTAGAGCATCAGCCTGCGGTCCCGAGAGACCCGGGTTCGGTTCCCGCTAAGGGCACGTACCTCGGTTGCAGTTTGGCCCCGGCCCTGGTGGGTCGTGCGGGTGGCAGCCTCGATGTTTCTCTCTCTCTCTCTCTTTCTCTTCCTCTCTCTCCCTCCCACTCTGTCTGAACAAGAAATGGAAAAATTTCCTCGCGTGAGGATAAAGTAAATAAATAAATAATAACCTGTATTACCCTGGCCGGTTTGGCTCAGTGGTAGAGCCTCGGTCCTCCGAGCATTGAGTCGCATGTTCGATTCCAGCCAAGGTCACGTACCTCGGTTGCAGTTCAGTTCCCAGTCCTGATTGGGGTCATGCAGGAGGCAACCAGTCGATGTGTCCCTCTCACGTCGATGTTTCTCTCTCTGTCCCTTCCTCGGCCTCCCACTCTATCTGAAGATAAATGGCAAAAATATCCTCGGGTGAGGATAAAAACAAAAACTCAAAACCTGTATTAGTAGTCAGTTTCATAGACAGTGGACCAGTAGTTGGAGAAAATGGAACAGTTCTGTGGAGGGATGGTGGTGACCACAGAGTGAGCGTACTCAGTGCCACTCATTCGTACACTAAGAAATGGTTAAAACAGCAAATTGTGTGTCGGTGCACTTCACCACAATAGAACCATACGGTGCCGCTGTGAGGAAGCCGGCGGGAAGTGGGGGCCACTCCCCTGTGAACCAGCGCAGATGGGGCGGGGCTGGAGGGGCCGCAGGCCAAGGCGGGGGGCAGACCCGCTGGCTTCGCTCTGTTCTGGAAACAGGAGGCCGCTGCCTGTGCTCCTGCAGCCGCAGGCGAACAGCCTGGCTCGGTCACTGTTGGCGTTAAAGTCCAGATGCCCACCTTTGCCCTCCGCTCAGCAGAAGCTTCTGGGTCCTGCCTTTGAGGTCAGAAAGGTCTGAGCTACAGACACCTCTAGTCACAACCCTCCCCCTCTGGGGCTGCCCCAGTCACCCCCAAGCAAGGCACCCCCTCTCTCAGATAAGTCTGTGTTGATCTTTGATTGGAGATGGTAGTTTGCATTGAAAACCCTTTTCTCGAACCGCCCCAGGACATTTAAAGACATGTCCCTTATGGGGGTGACCCCATAGGACAGGGGCCTCACCTGAACCCAACCCCAGTCTTTGTTCCTAAAGCTCCCCTTCCATCCCGGGGGAGGCTCTGTGCTCTGGGGGCCTCACTGGCTGCGGTTGGCCCCAGGCCAGCCCAGCTGTCCTCGGAGGGGGCCGTGGGCACAGACCCCTGCTCTTCCAGGGCCAGCAGGGAGGGGGTCCTGCCCAGACTTGCTGGGTGAGTGCAGGGGGCGCAGGGGGAGGCTGGCATCTGTTGGGGATGGAAACCCTGACTCATGGCAAAACCAGCCTGATTTCCACAAAGCGGGAGCGCTTTCAAGTCTCAACTTGGCCCTAGTGTTCCCTTTACGGGGCTCAGCACCGTCCCTGGGGGGCCAGAGCAGCTGCAGGGACAGCCCCTCAGTGTCCTCCCCTAGACGGGGGGGGGGGGGCAGGCAAGGGGGGCGTCAGCTCAGGGGCAGCATTACCTCGGGGGGGGGCTCTTTCCCTGGGCACATAGTCCTTGCCACCAAGTATAGGACTCTGCTCTTTAAAATTATTATTTTTATTTCAATGTTCTATACATTTTTCTTTACCAAAAAGCAAACCGAACCCACGTGCAGACAGGAAAGCTCTTCCCGCTGGGCGGGGCGGGGCGGCGCGCTCGGGCCCCTGTCCTTGAGACGGTGTGTCTGTACCAACGGGCCAAGCGTCCGGCCACGTCCTTTCCCTCCCCCACTCGACAGTGTGTTTGGACATCATCTGAAATCAGGACCTTTATGTCATCTTTGAGAAAATGACTGAATTATCCAAAATCATTCTTTTCAAGGAGAAAGTTAGCACGAGAGAATGATGATCTCAGGAGAGGGCGGCTCCCCGATCTGTGTGAGCCCTGCACCTCCTGCTTACACACCTCTCCCGACGGCCCGCTCACTGCCCCTGGCAGTGTGGCCGGTGGGAAGCGCTGACTCACCTGTAGCCAGCGTGCGTCTTCCCGGGAGCATCCCTCGGCCCCCTGATGCCTGCCGGCCACAGCACAGCCTGGCAGCTGCTGAACTCTGCCAGCAGGGCCAGTGCAAAGGGGGGGGGGGCAGGCTCCCCGAGGGCAGAGGCCTCTTTCTCTATTATAAAACGTAGAATGTTCTAGGACCTGGAGGCCTCCTCACTGAGGGCCTGAGACACATCTGTGAGGTCATTTTTCTTTCCAGTCCCCTCCAGATGCTCACCGGCTTCCTTTCTGCTTAGAGGAGGAGAGTAGGGGCCTGGGTGGGAACGCTGGCTGCCCACGCGAGCCCCTGAGCGGGAGAGAGTGTGCGGTGTGTCCCAGGCTCCTCGGGCCTTTCTGCTCATTTGTTCTGTCTGTCCACTCCGGTCCGTTCATTCGTTCGCTCCCTGCCTGCCTGGCCCTATGTCGTGGGCACAGGCGGGAGGACCCCTCTCTGGAGCACATGACGCCTGTCAGGGCACCTGCGTTCCACGGCACGGAGCGTGGGAACTGCAGATCTTACTGGAGAGCACAGGGCTTGGAAGGGAGGGAGCGGTGGCACGGCTAACCCGCGTGTGTCGTGGGCGCCCGCGGAGGCCCACGGCTTCCCCGGGGGGCCAGGTGGTATCAGCCCTCGCGCCCAGGGCCTGTGCCGCGGCTCTGGCCGCCTCCAGGACACTGTTCACAGGAACGGCAGGGGGTGCAGGAGACCCTTCCAGACGGGCGTGAGCCCCGACTCCAGCTCTGAGCGGGGAGTTTCCTGTTTATAAAACGCAGCTGGTAACCCAGCCCTGCCTCCTTGCAGGCGAGCGGCCGGTCAGGGCAGCAAGGGGCCCGAGGCTTCGTGAGCGGTGCGCGGGGCGGGGCTGTGAGGTCTCTCGATGGGTGGGAAGCAGGCCCATCTGTCTGTCTGAGGAGTGGGCATGGCCGCGGGAAGTCAGCTGACCACTCCCTTCATCTTCAGCTCGGGTCCTCCACCACCCTCGTGTCTCTGCCCCCAGAGGTGCTTGTGAGCGCCTGTCTGAATGGGTGACGAACACGTAGGCCGTTTTTGAAGACACCCCAGTGGGAAGTCGTCTGCGGTCTGATCCGAGCTGAGGGGTGACAGATGCGTAACCCACATTCCTTGTTTGTTTCCTGGTCCGCACTTGCTGGGTGTGAACCCCCACGATCCCTGTGCCAGAGGCGTGTTCAGTCAGGGAGGGGGACCCCTTCCTTCCAGGCCCCCCCGAGTTAATGCAGGCTCCGAGGAGCCCGGAGTGGGGGTGGCCAGGAGGTGTCTCCGGCAAAGTGGCCCTGAGCTGGGCCGACGAGAGAGGTGGCTTCCTAGGCAGGAGCTGTGTGAATACAGGCACAGGGGTGGGACCCGAGTGGCCTTCTCAGGAGCTGTAGGCGCGTCATTAGGGCTGGAGCCTGGGCTGCAAGAGAGACGGACCCGAGTAAGGCTGGGAGGTGGGGCCAGGCCCATCATGGAGGAGTCCGGAGCATCCTCGGGGCGAGAGTGCGGTGCCCAGGGGCCGGCCACCTCTCTCCCTTAGCCCGGCACCTGCTCGGGGAAGGTGTGTACCTCGTGGAGTGCGTGAATACGGGGCGGCGCCCAGGGGCCGGCCACCTCTCTCCCTTAGCCCGGCACCTGCTCGGGGAAGGTGTGCACCCGGTGGAGTGCGTGAATACGGGGCGGCGCCCAGGGGCCGGCCACCTCTCTCCCTTAGCCCGGCACCTGCTCGGGGAAGGTGTGTACCCGGTGGAGTGCGTGAATACGGGGCGGCGCCCAGGGGCCGGCCACCTCTCTCCCTTAGCCCGGCACCTGCTCGGGGAAGGTGTGTACCCGGTGGAGTGCGTGAATACGGGGCGGCGCCCAGACTGCCAAGCCCACACGTGGGATTCAGAGGCACTTGATGGTGGAAGGGCCGAAAGCCAGGAGGCAGTTTCAGATTCAATGCAGTGGACGATGGAGGCTTGAGGGTTTAGGGGCAAGAAGACAGACCAGGGAGGTGGTGTTTAAGGTGGTGTGTGCTGCAGAACCTGGGGCCAGGGGACGCCGCTGTGTGGGCCCGGGCGAGGGGCATTGTGGCGCCTCTGTTGGTGGTTTTGCAGAGGGGGAGGGGGCTGCTTTGGCTGCCCAGCTGCAGGGTTTCTGGAAGCGCTCACGTTTAACCACGGTGCCCGTCTTCCCGCTGCAGATATCAATGAGTGTTTGACAGTCAGTGCCACGTGCCCTGCCGGGCACACGTGCATCAACACGGAGGGCTCCTACACGTGCCAGAAGAACGTGCCCAACTGCGGCCGTGGCTACCATCTCAACGAGGAGGGCACCCGCTGCGTGGGTTGGTATTAGCAAAGGAAACCACTCAGAAGAGGGCTTTTCTCCCCGCTCCCAGCACCGCCCTTCCTTCTCTGGAAAGGGAGTGGACCCCAAAGGGAAGCCATTTCCGCGTGTCCATCCACCAGCACAGGCCTTGGCCGACCGCTGCCTGCCCACCCGCCGCCCCAGCTCTGTCCCGCTCTGTCCAGTCCTCCTGAGTTGAAAACTCTCTTGCCCCCTATGCTCACAGTTCCCATGGGTGACAGACGGAAGGGGGTGCACCTGCTTACAGTTCGTATTTCAAGCCCCAACCTCACAAACGGTATAACCCAGGTGCAGTAGGTCGTGCTGCCCCCCCAAGCTTGCCCTCTTCTCTTGCGTTGTTCCCTCTGCCCACTAGCTGCTACATGCCCGTGGGTCCAGGGCCAGGGCCCTGCCAGCCAGCGGGTCTTCTCCGTCACTCCCAGAGTACTTCCTCAGCATCTCCCCCAGGCACTGGGCACTTCCTGCCTTAACTAAGGTCCTTGCTGGCTGGCCAGAACAGAGTCCCCTGAGGATAGGGGTCAGCCGTCTCCTTAGCTTGGGCCCCACGATGCTCCGTGAAATTGAGCTGAAGCATAAACAATGCTGCTTTGTCGTGTACATTTCGTGTACATTGCTGCCTCCTTCCTGATCCTCTCGGGAACACACGCATGCACACGCATGCACACACGCACACACGCGCTCCCTGAAGGTTTTTCACAGTGTCTTTCTCTTGCAGATGTGGACGAGTGTGCACCACCCTCCGAGCCCTGTGGCCCGGGGCACCTGTGTGTGAACTCCCCCGGAAGCTTCCGCTGCGAGTGCAAATCTGGCTACTATTTCGACGGCATCAGCAGGACATGTGTGGGTACGTGGCGTCTCCGTAGGCTCTTGGGGTCCTGGCCGGGTGGCACCAAAGAGGACCAGCCCCTTGTCTCCCGTGGTCCGCTCCTCAGAGCAGGACCCCAGGTCGGGAGGCCGTGCCGGGTCCCGCTCCGTGGCTGCCCTCCAGCTGAGCCCTCTCCCACTGACCGGCAGGTGCTCTGCGCCACGTCCGACCTCTCAGTGTTCGTGAGGCTCCAGCCTCTACCAGCGCCCACAGGATTAGTGACTGCCCGAGATTCGGTGGCACCTGCAGGGCTCAGGGCCCGAGCTGTGCATAGCTCAGAGCAGTGACAACCAGACAGTGTGGCAGCCCAGCCACCAGGAGCGGGCACAGACCCTGCTGGCTGGCACCTGCCCTGCCCACCCCCAGGAGCCCTTGGTCAGAAGCCCTGGGCCCTCCCTTGGGGCTCTGGGGTAGAGAACTCGGGGTGGGCACACACTCAGAGGTATTGTCCTTGAAGGGCAGGGGCGGGCCCAGTGGGCAGGCTGGCCCTGTGTGGCCCTGGCTTCCTGCTGACTTGTCCTGTTTTGGGGACATGTTGCTGTACCTCTGCCCTCTGAGGAGTGAGGCTGAGGGGCCGGAGGGGCCGGGGGGCGGGGCGCTGCGGGGGGCCATGGCCCTGAGCCCCCCGCTCTCTGTCGCAGAGGAGTGAGGCTGAGGGGCCGGAGGGGCCGGGGGGCGGGGCGCTGCGGGGGGCCATGGCCCTGAGGCCCCGCTCTCTGTCGCAGAGGAGTGAGGCTGAGGGGCCGGAGGGGCCGGGGGGCGGGGCGCTGCGGGGGGCCGTGGCCCTGAGCCCCCTGCTCTCTGTCACAGAGGAGTGAGGCTGAGGGGCCGGAGGGGCCGGGGGGCGGGGCGCTGCGGGGGGCCGTGGCCCTGAGCCCCCCGCTCTCTGTCGCAGAGGAGTGAGGCGGAGGGGCCGGGGGGCGGGGCGCTACGGGGGGCCGTGGCCCTGAGCCCCCTGCTCTCTGTCGCAGAGGAGTGAGGCTGAGGGACACGGAGGGGCCGGGGGGCGGGGGGCCATGGCCCTGAGCCCCCCGCTCTCTGTCGCAGACATCAACGAGTGCCGGCGCTACCCCGGGCGCCTGTGCGGCCACAAGTGCGAGAACACGCTGGGCTCCTACCACTGCAGCTGCTCCGTGGGCTTCCGGCTCGCGGCCGACGGCCGGTCCTGCGAAGGTGAGGGTCCGGGCGGGGGTCCCCGGCCGTGTATTCAGTGACATGTCAGTGGGAAATGCCTGTTAAAGGTTGTTGGTCAGAGGGGACTGCCCGCCAAGGTGCGCAGGTGGGGTGCGCAGGTGGGGTGCGCAGGTGGGGTGCGCAGGTGGGGTGCGCAGGCGGGGCGAGCAGGCTGGCGGAGGTGCAGCTGAGGGGTCTGGAGGCCCGGAGCCGCCAGCTGTTCACATGACCCAGTTCAGTGGCTGACCTCACCTGCCTTGGTGGCCTCGGGCAGGAAGAGGGGTTGATGTGTCAGAGAGAAACAAAGGCTGGACAGATCTGATGGGGACTCCTGCATCAGGGGACAGCCCTCAGTGTGCTTGGTCTCAGCTCCACCAAAGGTTGGGGGCCTTTTCATTGTTAGTCTTCACCCGAGGATATTTTCCATTAATTTTTAGTAGAGTAGAAAGGAGGGAGAGAAAGAGAGAGAGAGAGAGAGAGAGAAACATCGATTGGTTGCCTTCCACGTGGCCCTGGTCGGGGTCAGGGGTCACCTGTGAGCCTTTGGTCTGCGGGCTGACACTCTAACCATTGAGCAACACTGGCCAGGGCTCAGGGGGGCTTTTTAAATGCTGGGACGTGCTCAGGGAAAGCTCTGAAGGGTGTTAAGGGGATGGTCCGCGGGCTTAGCGAGTAGGCTCCTGCCTCTCGGAGAGCGGACACACGCTCCAAACGCACGTTCCCATCCTGGAGAAAGATGTCCCTGGGCCGCAGAAGGTACAGCCCAGAGAAAGACAGGGCAGGAACTCACATTTGCAAATTTCCTTAAGAAAATGCTTCAGGCAAGCGAGGGCGTGAAGTTAGGCGTCAGCTGGAACGCAGAACGAACCTCAGCAGTGGTGAATGTTGTCGGGGGTCGTCACCCTCGGACACGGCCTTGGCCGGTGGAATCATGCAGACTGCTCAGGTCTGAGTGTGCGGGTGAGGGGGGGCCGCTCATGGGTGCCGAGAGTCTCGGGTTCCCAGGTAGCGCTGACCTCTGGTGGGGGACGAGACGAAGTGATCGTGTATTCGGAACCGGGTCTGGCACGTACTGGGTGCTCAGCAGATGACGCGGCTTTTGTGGAATCAGGCTCTGAGGTTGGCAGAGGTTGAGACCTTTGACAGCCCCTGCGGACCCCCCATCAAGCCCTGTTCTGTCCAGGGCAGTGCCCGGTGGCGGCTGGTGGAGCCGGTCACACGTGGCAGGTCTTAAAACTCTGGAACAAGCAGAATGTGGTCACCGAAGTCCCATCTGCCAGGATGACCTCTGGTGCATGTAATTCTCAAAGTGGAGGATGGGCGGTGTCATGTGCTCCTGGGGCCTGGGATGTGTCCCCAAGGACCAGACCAACTCCCAGATATTGGCAGGGAACCGGATTCACAACCTGGGGGCCCTTCGGGCCTGGGTTTGAACCTCAGCTCTGTCGTATTTGTGGCCTTGAAGAAGTCACTCTGCCATCGTAGGCCTCTGTGTTCTCATCTAGAAAATGGGGACGTTGGGCCCTGGCTGGTTTGGCTCAGCAGTTAGAGCGTCGGCCTGTGGTCCAGAGAGACCCGGGTTCGGTTCCCGCTAAGGGCATGTACCTTGGTTGCGGTTTGTCCCCGGCCCTGGTTGGGTCGTGCGGGTGGCAGCCAGTCGATGTGTCCCTTTCACATCGATGTTTCTCTCCCTCTCTCTCTCCCTCTCTTTCCCTCTCACTCTATCTGAACAAAAAAATGAAAAAATGTCCTCGGGCGAGGATTAAAAAAAAATGGGGACGTGGGGACCCACCTCGTAGGGGTCGTGTGGATGACACGAGATGAAGCAGGTGCAAAGCCATCACACGACCAGTGTGAGGCAAGGGCTGGCAATAGGGACAATATCATCGCTATTATCATTCATGGCTTGCCATCTCTGGCCACCCTAAGTGACTGAAAAGCAGACATTCCTATCTATGCTAGAAAGCAGTACTATAGACACAAAACCAGGGCTCAGCCTTATGACTCCACTAAGCCTTTACAAAGTCATCCCTGCCCCACAAAGTGTGTCGTAAGAACACGGTTCCTGCCTTCAGAGAGTGTCTCTAGGATGTGACGAGGAACCTCACTGGGCAGGTGAGCAGGTGAACACGTGCAGCCGAGGCCCGGGGGATGGGGGCCGCAGGGATGAAACTCAGGGGGAGAGGCTAATGGACATTCTCAGCTGCTCACCCCTCTTGCCCTGCTAAGAATTAGCAGTAGATCATCGTGAGAAGAGACTTCTGGGCAGAGATTGGCAAACTTTTATTTTCTAAAAGCCACAGTCTCTGTTGGGACTGCTCAACTCTGCCATTGCAGGGTATAAGCAGACGTAGACTGCAATAAATGAATGAGTGTGGCTGTGTGCCAATAAAACTTTATTTACAAACACAAGCGGGAGGCCGGATGATGCTGCGGAGTGGCCTGGTGCGTCGAGCATTGGAGTACTGGGTATCGGCGTACCACCGGCACGCAGGGCCTCCTGCGGTGCAGAGGAAATTGGGAAATGACGCAGGGAGGTCGCGGTCAGATTTCCATTTGAGAACTAGAAAGAAGGAGGCACCCAGGCGGTGGGGGGACTGGAAAGAGCGGAGGCTGGAAGCAGTAACTGTCCTCCTGAGGGCGCTGTGCAGCTTGGAGCCGGCAGTGGCCGGGATGGAGAATCCAGGTCCGTCGCTGTGGGGGGCTGGACGAGGTGCCCCTCTCCTCCTGGCGACCCTAGAGGGCCCCCGGCCCCTCACTCCGGGACCTCCGCCTCTCTGTACTGTTAGCGTGGGGGGCTCTGCGTTCAGGGCCCCAGCAGGGCCGTGGGCCTGGCTCTGAGGGTGACCGGCCTCCCTTTCAGACGTGAATGAGTGTCACAGCAGCCCCTGCAGCCAGGAGTGTGCCAACGTCTACGGCTCCTACCAGTGCTACTGCCGCCGGGGCTACCAGCTCAGCGACGTGGACGGGGTCACCTGCGAAGGTGAGGCTCCTGCTGCTCTGCCCCTCCGGGTGGCGCCTTCCCCGGCTGGTGGTGGTTTGTTTTCCCTCCAGCGGGGTGTCCTTTATCCACCTTGACAAATGCGGGACAAGGGTGCTCGCTGTGTGTGCCGAGACCCCCGGCAGGACTTGGCAGTGGTGTGTCACCCGGATGAGGATGGGGCTCAGGGCCACCCACAGCCCTGACTTTTGAAAGACCCTCACCAGCCCGTCCCCCTCCTCTGTAGCGTGGCGGGGGTTCACCCCGACTCTCTGGCAGGCGGAGCGTGAAGCCGGTGAGGAGTCGGAAGCATTCGGCCGATTGCTGCTTCCGTGGGAGGGTGCTTGTCGCCAGCACATTTCCAGGCGTCAGTACTGGGACGCGCTGGCAGCCTGCAGGGCACCTGTGCCCCTGCTCAGCTCCCCGTCCACCGCCTCCCCACACACGCACACTTCACATCCCGAACTTGCTGTGTGGCCCCAGGCCGGTCCTTCCCCTCTCTGGGCCCAGTTTGCCCTCTGAGGTGATGACCTCTGACGCCGCGCCCCCAGCACCTTGAGGCCTCCTGTACCCAGCTGGCCCGTGCGGCCGCCCCCCAGGCCCCAGCCCGGCCCAGGGCCACGCTGAGGGTGGGCTTTGCCGTTGCAGACATCGACGAGTGTGCCCTGCCCACCGGGGGCCACATCTGCTCCTACCGCTGCATCAACTTCCCCGGAAGCTTCCAGTGCAGCTGCCCCTCGTCCGGATACAGGCTGGCCCCCAACGGACGCAACTGCCAAGGTGAGCGCAGGACCCCGTGGATCGCTGGGCCGTGCATGGGGCCCTCGGTGCTGCTGGCTGAGGCCAAGCAGTCCCCAGCCGTGTGTACTTCCCTGACGGGGGGCCATACTGCAGGTGGGGTGCTGGCTGAGGCCAGGCAGTCCCCAGCCGTGTGTACTTCCCTGACGGGGGGGGGGGGAGGGCACAGCACAGGTGGGGTGCGTTTGGGAAGGGAAGAGGTGTAACCTGGGGCCCGCAGGTACCCAGTCTCGCACACCCATCCTCAGAGGGTTCCGAGACCTCCCGCCCTGCCCTCGGCAGCCCCAAGGGGCTGGACCAGGGATGGTAGCCTTTAGGAAGGTGCCCCCCACAGAGGACATGGGGAGTTCATGCCCGAGGCCCCCTTTCCAGGGCAGAATGCCGCTTGCTCGGTTTCCATGGTCGCGCAACCGGCCGTGCTGTGGGCCAGACCTGGCCAGCAAGGGCAAGCAGTGAGCAGATGCTGGAGGCCAAGGGCTGGTCCCTGCCCAGGCAAAGGGGACATGGTCTGGTCTGGAGGGTGTGACAGCTCCAGGGTCTCTAGGGCTGTGAGGGTCCGGCATGGGCTAAATGAGGGGGCCACTCGGCTCCCTTATCTAATACACCCCAGGAGTCGCCCTGCGCCTTGGGGCGGTGCTTTTGTTCCCGGAGGGGCTGCCGAGCAGGTCTCTGTGAACGAATGACCTGGAAGGGGAACATTGCCTCACCTCTGGGAACAGCCCCAGAAGCTGCGTCAGAGGTGGGGCCTTCCAGACTCTTCCTCATGGGTCCCCACGTGGGGTTGGCGGCCCAGAGCCCTGCTTCTGCAGGTGTCATTTCTGGTCTTGAAGAAGGTGACTTGGCCCCCAGGCAGCGGGTTCCTGGGGGGACCCCGCTCAGCCGGTCCTGTTTTCGAATTTCTGATGGAGCAAATCACTTCTGCGCCTGGCCAGGCCCCTCACCACAGCCCGAGGTTCTGCCAGGCCGCGGAAACGCATTCCTGCGCCCCGGCCTCTGGGATCAGGAGCATCCTTTCTGCCAGGCGTGGCAGGCATTTGGCCCCTCTTAAGAGATGCTTCCTGGCTTGGTGACGTCCCCTGGGCCCCACCATTTGGCTGTTCCCAAGAGTTGGAAGGGGGACAGCCCCCTATAGCCAGGCTCCAGCCCAGACATCACTGACCCTGGACACTGGGTACAATGCAGAATTCCACTGAGCCTCGGTTTCCCGCCGGTAACATGGGGCTCCCTCCTTGCTGGGGTGTCAGAGTCCCGCGAGGGGAGGGCGCGGAGGCTTGGCAGCTGCGGAGGGGTGCCGGCCGGTTAGAGCACAGACCCCCGCGCCGGCCCGCCTGGGTTCCGAGCTCAGGCCAGCTCCCCCCCAATGAGGGTAACAACACTCGTCTCCGGGAATCGCTAGGAGAACCCAGACACCTCTGGGAAGCTCTTCCGGGGCCGCCGGAGTATCCGCTGTGATTGCTACGCTCACTCCAGCTGTGAAGGGCAAGACTCTGTACATATAAACGCCCCATAAATAGCAGGGCTGGCACACAGCGCTGCTCCAGAGACCAGCCAGCGGAGGGCAAGGAGGCCTGAACCCACCCTGACCGGGCTGGTGGGGGGTCTGTGGGTGGGGCTGCGCGGGTGGCCTGGGCCTTCACCGTGGTGCCTCGGGGTCTCTCGCAGACATCGACGAGTGTGTGACCGGCATACACAACTGCTCCATCAACGAGACCTGCTTCAACATCCAGGGCAGTTTCCGCTGCCTGGCCTTCGAGTGCCCGGAGAATTACCGCCGCTCCGCAGACACGTAAGTCCCTCGGCCCGCGGTTGTCTGTCTGTGTCGGCCTCCCTGGGGCTCCAGCTCCTAGCCGGGGAAACCTGAGGGACCCCGGTTCTCGGGCCCTTACCTGCCCTGGGACTGGTCGCAGAAACCAAGGTCGTGGCCTCCATGGCCTGGAGGGCGTGGGCCTGCTCTCCCAGCACCGTACTCGGAGCCAGGCACACACCCCAGCCCCCTCGTTTCCTAGTGAGACGTGGGCAGGGGACAGCTCTCCGGGCCTCAGCGTCCCTACTGTGAGACACAGGTCAGATGCTCTGATCGGGTGCAGGTAGCCACGGCCCCAAGTGGACCCCACGACTCGTCGGGGCAGCGTTATTAGGTGAACCCATCCGAAGGCCAGGCTGTGTTCAGCCCGTGACTGTGGGAAGCACACGGAAGAGTGTGAGGCTGTGTCCATACATCATTGTACGCGCACTCATCTTGGGCCCCGGATGTCTGCGGGGGTGTCAGGGATCCCCTTCTTCGAGGAGTAGTGAGGACCCTTGTCTCACCGCACGCCATCCCACTCTGATTTGATTCGGGGAGTCTCAGTATCATGGTCAGTTGTTTTAGGAAAAGCTCCTGGTGGGAGACAGTCTCGAGAATGTGGACACGTGGTCCCTCCCTCCAGCCCTGGACGTGGCTCAGAGCCAGCACACAGCCAGGCTGACAGGGACTTGGTCCCGTGACCTTGAGCCTGCTCCCCCTGCGGGCGGTCAGTGCCTTCAGGGACGGTACACCAGGCCCCCGTCCACGCGATCCGCCCCAAGGCCCTGGCTCCCACTTCCGGCCCAGTCTCCAGCTTGTTGAAACGGGGAGCGGGTTTCAGCCAGAGGCCCCGACAGGACAGCCAGGTCCCCTGTTCCTCCTGCATCGGGGGCGCTTGCTCACCCAGCAGCCTCGCCACCGCCCCCAGGCTGGCTCCGTGCCCGCGGCGTGTGCTTTGTCTGCTTGGAAACCCATCACCTCGCGTCCCTCTGGGCTCGGTCAGGGCAAGGCCACCCCAGAACTGGTTTGCGGGTACAGTGTTTGTTCCAAAGAGGCCGTGGGTGCGCAAGGCCCGGCGGGCGGTGATGGCGCTCCTCCGAGCGGTTAAGACGGTTCCGTGTCCTTCACCAAGGCTGTGCTGCCCTTTGCCATTGTAAGTCCCCGTGCCGCCACGTATCTGTCCACCTCTGCTGTTTGCTGCCGGCCTCAAGTGCACACACAGCCACGGAAGCTAAGCCCGAGGCTGGGCGGGCTGGCATTGGCGCTGAGCTGTCTGAGACCTGCAGACCTGCTGCCCCTCGGCTGCTGTGAGCTCTGGAGGCCTCTGCCCCCCGCCCCCCCAGTGCCAGAGACTACTCACTTGCTTGGGGAATGTCGGCGAAGGCCTGCTGTGTGCGGGCTCCTGGGCAGAAAGGCCCCCCGTCCCTGCCCCTCGGGAGCACTGCAAAGCCAGCAGTGGCCACGGAGTTCAGGGGTGCTGAGACCAAGGAGGGCCCCACGTGGCTGGGGTGGCGGCAGGGGGTGCCTGGCAATGCTTAAGTGACGCAGGAAGGAGGGGTGAGTCAGGCGGAGAGGGAGGGCGTGGAGGGCGTGGAGGGCGAGACCACAGCGGGGTGCGGACACGCGGTGGGGAAGGAAGGCGTCCCCGGCAGCTCAGCACTCAGAGAGGTCGGTGCTCCAAGGCCTGGCCCATCCCCATCTCAGGGATTCATCCGCCCGTTCCTGGGCTGATAAAGAGGGGGGGTCATCACTCTCCATACGTAAGGGCAGGAAGTGGGTCCCTGCCCACTGTAAAGGCCAGAGGGACAGCAGGAGGCTCCAGGCGGCCCCTCCAGGGAAGGTGGCCACTGCGTTAATCCCCATTCCCGCTCACTGGCGCCACCCAGTGGCCGAGCAGAGAGTGGGCGGAGAATGTAGCTGAGAAGGTCCTGACCTGAGGAGGGCCAGGCGGGGCCCCACGATAGTTCTCCCCTCGTGGGGATCCCGCTTTGGAGTCAGACTTGCTTGGGTTTGCCTCCCAGCTCAGTCCACTCCAGGTCCCTTGACCTTGACCGGAAGCAGGTCCCCTGAGCCTCTCGGAGTCTCCGTGTCCTCATGTACAGGGGGTGGGGATGCCGCCCTTCTGGGTTCGTGCGGGGTGGCCTGTGACTGTGGGGCAGAGCCCGCTCCATAAAGTTCACTCTGGGGGCACCCCAGGGCATATTTTACTACCAGTACCACGGCTCTCCTGACCCTCAGTGTCGTGGCCTCGGGCCAGTCCCTTGGCCACCCAGGGGCCCTTGCTGCCTCTGTCATACCTGCTTGGCAAGGCTGGAGGACTAGTGAGCATTGGTGGTGATGAGCTCCAGGCACCCAGCCCGGTGCAGCCCTGCACTTAGAAACCAGTGGTGGGCCCGGCCGGCGTGGCTCAGTGGGCTGAGCATCGTCCCACGGACTGAGAGGTCCCGGTTCGATTCCCGGTGGGGGCACATGCCCGGGTTGCAGGCTCGATCCCTACTCGGGGGCGTGCAGGAGGCTGCTGGTCAGTGTTTCTCTCTCCACAACATCAATACAAACATTATAAAAAGAGGGAAAATTGGTGGTGCAGAGGGTGGCGGGCCGTGCCGCCGTCTCCCCCAGAAACAGTGGCCAGAATGCAGAGGTGCCTGCAGTGTCTGCAGCTGTTCTGCCCGCTGACTGTGTGACCGCTGAGGTCCTCGGCCCTCGGGTGGGGAGCCGGGGCGTGGCTCCTCAGGGCCACGTGGTCACGGGGCCATCACTGCTGCTCACGGAATCTGTGTGGTTACCGTGTTCTCCTTCTGTGACCCCCCTTGAAGAGTCATGGACCAGGCCTGGAATCCCAGGTCGAGGAGCCATCAGGGTCTTATCCTGGCTGCCCGTCCCAGTCGGGGGGCTCCCTGGGACCCCAGGAGAGCTGCCACCTCAGTGTGAGCATAGTGGAGTCCCTGAGAGAATCCTCTTAAAGAACTGATGATGTGACCTTGAGAAAGCAGCTTGTGCACCTACGAGAGCTGCGCTGGAAAGGACCTGGTGGCCGGACATCTGGGGTCCACATTCAACGAGAGCAGCTTGCTCAGGGGCCTCCCAGGCGAGACTGGGGGTTCTCCCCGCTCGCTGGGCCTCAGCCCTCCCTCCCTCCCCACCGGTGTCCTGGGCAGAGTCCTGGTGGCCAAGGGGCAGTAACGGAACGTGACCCATCGGGCTGGGCCACAAACCGCAGGGCAGCACTCACGGGCCAAGCAGGCTGTTGAGATCCTAACCACATACTTCCCTCCTGCCCACGGGGGGACGGTCAGGGTGTCCCGGGGCCTGGGATGGGACCGGAAACATTCTCTGTGTCTCCTCAGCAGGGCGACCCCTGAGACTCATGGTGTGGAAGCCAGAGCAGGGCTGGGCAGCCTGGTGGGCACAGCTCTTGGCCTGAGGGTGTATTTGCGGGTGGGCAGGGGTGAAGCCCTGCCCTGGACGGCTCCTCGGGCTTGTCTCCAGAATGACAAGAGTGTAAAAGTCAGGTCAGCTACAAGTGTCGGTCAGTGGGGGGTGGCCAGAATGGCCACGTGTCCAGGAGAAGGGACTGGGCCTGAGGACCTTTTTTTCTCTGGTATACGGTGGCTTTTGAAATTACATTTTCACAGAACTTGGGGTGTGGTGACTGAAAAATCGGGACACATTTTTCTCGTGGGCACGGTGAGATGGACAACAAGGCACAGGGTCCCAGGGGCCTGGCTGTCCTCTGTACACTGGACGCGGGGACACGACCCTGCTCAGTCTGGACCCACAGACTTGTGCCCCCCATGTGCAGGAGGTTGGCCAGAAGTAGCCGTTAGGTTTTCTGGGGTGCTTCCGTAAGTTTGGGGTACAGCAGGAGAGGACAGTTGACGGTGGCCCTGATGGGGAAAATCAGAGCCATGGTGATTGGTGCACACGTACTGAGCCCACAGCAGGTGTGGGGCCCACGCTGGGTGCTGGAGGTGAGGCCGAGAGCCCAGCCACGCCCTTGGGAGGCCAGTGGTCTAGGAGTCAGGCCCCGAAATGCCTGGGGCGAGGGGGGCTGGGCGTGTGGGGCCGGGAATGTGGGGACCACCGAGGAGGCGTATGATGGCTGTGGGAGCTACACCAGAACATCGCGCACACCTCACGCTCCCCGCCTTCCGCACATGCTGGGTTCCTGTTTCCAAATCAGAACCCTGTCCTTGGACCGGGGACAGGCCACACCCAAGGGGGAAAGCTCACTGCACAAAAAGGAGGCTCTGGCGCCACCTGCTGGCCAGGCTCGCTGAGCCCTTTCTGAGGCTGTGTGTGTGTGTGTGTGTGTGTGTGAAGGCTTTGCACTGCGACAGGCCGACTTTATCTCTGCCACTGACGACAGACTGTGGAGTCCTGGACTCGCTGAGTTCAGTCTCCCCGTCGATAGAATGAGGAGAACCGTGTGGGACAGTGAAGTGAGCTAGTGGAAGGACCAACCCTGGTGGACCCGCGGGGAGCCTGGCACCGTCCCTCGGGGCTGCCCAGGTCACCTGGAGCCCTCCCATTTGGCCTGGACTGTGGTGTCTCTGCGGCTGGGCTCCCCTTCAGCAGCACCCAGACCCGCCTTTTCTCCTGCTCCTCCCCTCGGTCTCTGGCTTCCCTCCCACGCGCGACCCCCCTCGTCTGCGTCCCGATGTTCACGTGCCTTCATCCCAGGGCCGTGTCTCAGAACGGCCGGGTACACGAAAGGGTTGCCGTCAGTCCCGGGAAAGAGCTGGAAACAGGAGGTACAGAGACCACACTCACTATAAATGCAAAGTAGAGTAAGTCCCAGTAACCCGACGTGTCACAGGACGTTAGACGCTGTCCCGTCCTGTCACAGGGATTAGAACCTGTCACAGGAGGTTAGACTCTGTGATAGGAAGTTACAGCCCGCACCATCCTGTCGCAGGAAGTTACCACCTGTCTCCATCTCGGTTCCAAGCCCTGGCCGGCCCCGTGGACGCAGAGCTGGGCCTGGAGCGCACGGCTAG